CGTTCCTATTGCTAACAAGTCCATTATAGTACAATTTATACCCATCTCCAATCATCAAAGTCTTCTGTCCTTTCCATTTCGTCTCTTGTATGCACGCTATATCAACTTTTCTCTTGTTCAACATTGATGCCAATTCTCTCGTCTTACCTTTAAGCGTCCCAATATTCAAACTTGCCAGTCTTGTCTTCTTTGCTTTGACCTTTACTTTATTTTTCACAGGATGGAGGTCTACACCCTGCGCGTCGCATGGAGGGAACGCCCTAGCTTTCATATTCATATTTTCATTTGTGTCCTTCATTTTGTTTATTGGACAGGTATCCTTAGCACCCGGCTGTCCAGGCCTGTCGGTGACCGGGGTGTCATCTCTAAGCTCCGAAATTCATCATACCATATGTCTTTACACATCAGTCATCGAAGAAAAACTTGAAAGTTTTTATGGTTCTTACCAGGATTGAATAATAAGAATTAAAAATAAACCTGATTACTTAAAAGATTACGTGCTTAAAATTTAAATATAAAACGCTTAAAACGCTAAAAGTATAAAACGCTATAAAAAATAATATAATAATCGTTATGATTTATCATTCCTTATTCTGGATTTTATTCCTTATTCCATAAATTATCATTCCTTATTACATATTTTATTGTTCCGAAATTCAAAATTTTATTTGTGTATATTATTCATACATTTGATTTGATCAACTATTCCAAATTATATATTCCGATTTATTCCAAATTCCAATATTCAACTGGATTAATGATAATAACAATTTTGAGAAATGTGAACAACATACGATAAGGATATCAAACCAACGATAACGTTCAACGATTTTATCAAACCTACGCGATTGATTCAAGCCTACAAAAAACGTACAAACTCACGCAACTCTAATAAACGATTTTATCAAACCTACGTGATAGAATCAAGCCTACGAAAACATTTGAGACTTATGCGCTAACCAAGATGAAACCGAGTACAATCGAAACGGGAAAAACTTCTAGGACATCAAGCTCTCGATGACTGCTGAGAAGAAGCTTCGTTGTTTGTAGAAGAGGGGGAATGTTGATTGATTTAAATTTGAATATTATTTATTTTATATGTTGATTGATTTAAATTTGAATATTATTTATTTTTATATTTAAGTTGTTCAATTAACTTTTAAAAGATATATATATATATAATTTTGTGGATGAAAAAAAGAATAATAAAATAGTTAAAATAAGTTCTTACATTTATTATTTACATTTTATAATTATATTTTACTTTTATTAAGATAAATAAATTAAAATTACTCACTATATGAAAAATTATATTTGATATATTATATTATTTAGTAATTTTATGCATCTATTATTAATAATTATAATACATTTCACTTTTGTCTTAAGACTTATCTTTGGCTTACATTCCATTTCTTAAAAACATTTTTGGTTCACTTTTTTTATATATAAATGTTTTAAAAATATCAACTTTTACATTCTTTTTTTCAAATTTTGTTTAAGATATATGCATACATTTTTGGGGGTCAGGGATTGGGGGGAGGACCAGCATCTACATGACAGGATTTTTACTGGATGCAAACCCCTTCAATAACCTTTGCCTACCCTCCTAAAAAATCCCCGCCGTCTTCGGCGGCGGTGTATTTTTATCATTATTTTCACCTATTTATTTATTGATACTCTTTTCAAAGAATTTATGACTTAAATTAATCTATCTCTACTACCAACTATCGATATTTCGTGAATATTAAGAATTTATTTTTTAGATAATAAATTCAATTAAAACCTCCATTATTTACAATGATTATTATGGCATTATGAGCTTGCTGAAATATCTAAACCTTTTAAATGATAGTTTATTTGGAAAACAATGTGTATGATTGTTTGCAATATATAGATTTGATCGATGAATTGTATTATAATAATACTATAATAAAAGTATTAATTTTTACAGCAATAAATTTTGTCCTATTTTATCTCAATATTTAATAGATAACCCCTCCAAAAAAATTTATCCTACCCCCATTAAAGCAGCTTACCCCCTACCCCCTCAAAAAAATAGGATACAAACTGTTCCTACCCTTCCCGCTCATGTTGACACTGGGGAGGACTAAGGGGGGATATTTTTTATTAGCTTAAGAGGATATTCACAAAAAGTGATAAATTTCTGAAGGGGGGAGGGATTTCCCCTTGACCCCCCATCTGGCTACGCCTATGCTACTTTCATTTATAAAAATTCTTAGTTTTGATCTATTTATTTTTAAAAGCATCAAATTTGGGGCCAATAATTTCCTCTATTTACTGAATAAGAAGATTCATCATCACCACGGAATACGAGCTCCTGAATTCCAAGAAAACATATAGTTGATTATATTTTCAATATTTCTCTATTTGATTTGACTTTAGAATTATGCTGTTCGAATGATATTTTGCGCATCGAATTAATCATATTTTCAATACAATTTTGGCCATGTTTTTAATTGAATCATCTTGCAAATGAGCGGTTGATTCTTTGCCGTTTAACTACCTTTGATAAATTATTCATATCCGAAAATCCGTTATCATTCCAAACATATTTTTCCTTTGGGAATAATAAGCATGACTAACAATATAGAGAATTAGAAAATTCACATCCAGTGAGCCATTCATATTTATCTATAGAAAAATTACGGATGCAAGTTTTGATTTTTTTTTAGTTTTGTAAAATTGGTTTTGGTCTACCTTTTTTAATAATCATTTTTTTCGCATCAAAATTTCTTGAGCTAAATGATAATGTTAATAAATTTTCAATAATACAATTACAATTATTAAACATTAATTAAAGATTTTAAAAACGAAAAATTTTTTATTTTAAAAAAGTAAGGAAAAAAATATTATATAAAAAATTTCTTTCTCTTTTATTTATTAAAAAATAAGCATTTTTTTATTTGCTTCCACAATGCTTATTTTTTAATGGCAAAATTACACAATACCATGGCATGATTTTCTTTTTATTTATTAAAAAAAATAAGCAATATTAAATTTGTTTCCCTCGTGTATACTTTTTTTAACGTAGTAAAAATAATAGTAACTTTTTTAACGTAGTAAAAATAATAGTAACTTTTTTAACGTAGTAAAAATAATAGTATTTCTAAATATAGTAAAAATAATATTAATTTTTTAACGTTATAAAAATTATATTAATCTTTTTAACGTTATAAATATATATTAATCATTAATGTTATAAAAATTATATTAATCTTTAACGTTATAAAAATTATTTTAATCTTTAACGTTGTAAAAATTATTTTAATCTTTAACGTTATAAAAATTATATTATTTTTTTAACGAAGTAAGTTTAGTTTATTTAGCATAGTACAAAAATTATATTAAGTTTATTTAGAAATTTTGTCGTCACTGGTTCAGACAAAGAAAATAATATGCAATATATTATCTGATTTTTCTATGTATACAATAACATATAAGTGTGAATCATCATCATTCTACAATAACAGTCATTATATAACGTTACTTGAGCATGTTATGAAATGACTTAAGAAGGTAAAATAACAGCTGTCGATATTTAACTTTAATTTCCACCAGTATTCCGTACAACTGGAACCATCTTCTAAAATAAACAGGAACCAGCCTATCTAAAAACTTATAGGAACCACTTCTAACAAAAATGCAATAATTTTTATATTGTTTATGTTTGATTCATTTTTATTGTTTAAATTCATTGCTTTAATAGAGTTTGAAAGTGGAATCGGGTATAATTTATGAATCGGAAACCCATTTTCATAATATTAAAAACCTGAGCTCCATTTTTTTGAAAACCCTTTATAATCTCGTGATCGAATTTGACATGATCAAATTACATATTATTTTATAATTATTAAGATTGTTCGATGATTTAATTTGGCAGTATACAATATAAATATATAATAAATTCAATGGTATTTTATTAATTAGTAGGGTAAAATATGCATATAAATAAAAAAAAGTAATTAAAATGTACAATAGGAGTTAAATATAAACGTCATTTTGTTATTTGCATGTTGACATAATGACATTTATATATATTTTTTTTAAATTTAATTAAAGGATATTTTAAACAATATTAAATATAAATGTTAAACATCATTTAGCATGTAGACTAGTGATCTGCATCGGGCCTAATTTTTCATGCCCGGCCCGAAATTTTTTTAAAAAGTTTTGCCGCCAGAATTTATTTAAATATAGAAATTAATTTTTATAATTACTTAAAATAAAAGACATATGTTATATAGTGTTTAGTTTCAATAAATTAAATCAAAATTTTTTATTTTACATAAAAAATTCAATATAAAATTGATAAATTTAAGATATATGATAAAATTTCCAAGATCCGACCCGACCCAACCCGAAATTTTTTTAAAAAGTTTTGCCGCCAGAATTTATTTAAATATAGAAATTAATTTTTATAATTACTTAAAATAAAAGACATATGTTATATAGTGTTTAGTTTCAATAAATTAAATCAAAATTTTTTATTTTACATAAAAAATTCAATATAAAATTGATAAATTTAAGATATATGATAAAATTTCCAAGATCCGACCCGACCCAACCCGAAATTTTTTTAAAAATATTAGGCCGTGCCCGGCCCCGATTATTATAAATAGAATTAGGCTCGAGTCCGGCCCGTTTGCAGATCTCTAATGTAGACCACAAAATGACTACCATCTAATTACTATTTATCTTCACTTAATAAATGAATTGTTAATCTTGGTTTTTAGTTAATAATACCTGAAAATTTGCTATCTTATTTCAGCTATCAACATAGAAATGAGGTTGGTTTAATTGTTTAGATTTTATTTATTTCTTTGCATAACATAAATTTTATATATCAAAAAATATACAAGTGTAATAGACAATATTTTTATCGGCAAAATTTCTGCAAAAAAAATATTTTTTGATCCATGATTATTTCACATAATTACAAAAATATAATCTTTTATACAGCTTTTTATTTATTAGAGGAGTATTAAGGATTAGTAAAAAAAAAATAATTGTAAAATATATATTTCTAAAAATTATTATAGTAAAGTTTTATGTAAATTTAGAAAAACTTAATTAGCTTTTCAAAAAAAAAAGAATTTAACATTTATCTATTATATATGTGGAACATAATAATACATTTAAAATTGGTGCATTTTAGACGATTTGCGAGGGTAAAAGTTTTTACAAGGTAATCATCAATCAGAAAACTGGTTTTTTTAAATACTCCTTTATTTGATTCTCTAATTAGAGTTTCTCGCTAGCATATACGTTAGTTTGTAGATTATTCCCATTAAAAGTAGAGGGACTGAGTGAATGATCATTGGAGGATTTCTCTGTAGGACTATCCATTGGAATTCCAGATTCACTGAAATCTACATCCTCGGGAGATACTTCCAGCAGAAGTTGAAGGAAAGTCGTCAATTTATCTACGTAATTATTATATAATATATATTTTTTTAATAATTTATTATATTTTTGAAGGGAGGGTGGGGGAATGCAAATTTATTAAATTCATAAATAAGTAGTATTAAATAATTTAAATGGCCGAAATATTCATTTTCTTGTTGTGGTTAAGAATGAAATATTATTACCCTTTATGTTTAGGGATTCATCTTCTTCAACTCAGGCTACCCTCCCTTAATAACTTTACAAAAATATTGTTTAAAACCGATAGAATAAATACTAATATAAAATCATTTTTACCTATGCAAGAAAGGTGTAACTTGAGATAGACGAAGGGTATATAGAGCAAAAGACCACAAAGTATGAAAAGGGTTGCATAAAGGTATTCTATAGCGGGATCTCTTATGATAGGAGCGATGACTAGGTAGACAGCCACCAGAAGCACGATGATGGGAATTCCTATGAAAACCTTAATGGTAGTGTTTCAAGGAAAAATTATATCACAACATTATTGAATTATAATTTGTAATGAAAAAAAATGTTTATTCATTCTTAAAATATTTTATCCTTTCCATCTCGTTATCCAGCTTTGGGAAATATTAACCGGATTCCCTTTCGCCAAATGAGACCCACCTCTGATCATAGGAATCATTTCGCAAATTTCTCATTTAATTTTTACAGCTGATTTAATTCTTTCTTTGATTTTATCACTTTAGTAAAATATATATTTAAATTTATTTTCCAAAAAAAAACTTTGTATGGTCTAACTGCGTGTGGCATTGAATATCTAAGCCTGAGAAGAGCCACCATCGTTAACCCATAAAATATCCAAACGGCAAAACTGAAAAAATCAATCAAACTGTCTATGTTACCCATCAATATCATGATGATAGATATAAGCGTCTAATTTAGGGCAAAAATTATAAAAAAATGTTAAATATAATTTATTGGATATATTTTTTAATAAAAAAAAATAATACAAAAATTTTGTATAGAGATTGAACAAAACTTTAAATGTATCGTGTATGATGGTAAACCGACCAAGGACGATATAGGGCTCTAGGGTCCTCACTCTAGACTCTTAGATTTTCAACTTATAGTGAAGTGATCAATATTTTGTGATTATGTAGAGGTGATTTGATAAGATCACTCAAATTAATTAAAAATCGTAAATTTAAAAAAACATTAAAGGAAATCGATTTAACTTCACAAAGACCGGATATGTAATTTATAAAGGATAGGTTTGATGAATTTTAATATAATATAAAGTTATAAATTTACGGCGAATAGGATGGCTGGGGCTGGCGTGATACGGGTTATATGTACGTAAGATAGTAAATGCATTAAGTGTCTCTCCCGAGCTGCTACGTAGCAAACCCTAAAGTTCAAATAAAAATAATGATTTATTTAAAAAAAGGATTAAAAATCTAGGTAGGGTGTACAATTTTTTGATAAATTTTTTTCTAGGCCAATAATTTTAAAAAATTCCAAAAAAACATTTACGTTAATTTCTATCATAAAAATTGCCGTTTCTTTTTTATAATGAAACAACTGGTTATTAATAAAAAAAAATTAATAATGCATTATAAGTCGCAATTTCCATATTGTTAAACATTTATGAATTTTGATACAGAAAGAATCTTCAAGGTAAGTCCGTGCTTAGATATCAGTTATATATAACTATAATTGAGGCCTTTATCAAGGATCTATGGGAATTCAGATAAAGATAAAATAATGGAAAAGCTTTAAATGAGTGGTGGAATGTTTAGAAGGGCATGGTTTGAGAGTAAATGGGGAGGGAGGGGGATATGTGAAGAGTAAAGATGATGATAGAGAGGTAAGCATCGGAAAATGGACGCTAAAATATAGATGGTTACAAATATTTGGAATCCGTGAAACATTTGGTTAAACATTGAAAAGTAAATTAAGGATGAGATTCTGAAAAGAGTTATAGGCAAACTTTTCCAATTCCTAATTAATGGCAAAGCATAAAAGGAGTTTACTTACAAAGAAAGATGAAAATACTAAGTCATATTCCAAAAAAAGATAAAATGTGACTTAAACTAGTCGTTAAGGATGGCCGAGTTTGTTTAAAAATATTTTCTTTACTTTTTTTCAATAGAGAGGAAAGGTTCGCAAACTGGTGAGAGAAATTTATTAATGAAAATATATTACAAGTAATCTTCAGGGTCCGGGAATTATATTTTATATTCATTTAAAATTACATTAAACCAAAATATGATGATGTATAAACTGATAAACAACGTTCATATATGGTGGCAACTTAAACTAATAAAAAGTGAATATTTTATTCTTAATCTGTCTTTTAACCTGCTGGCGGCTAATAATTCGCCGTTTATGGCTCCGAACGTCGAAAACGACACGCAAACGGGAATGATCCAAAAATACTTGAAGCCGAACATAGTCAAAGACCAATCCTATTTATAAGATATTTATATTTAAAAAAAGGAAAAATACAATAGCATAATGAATCAGTATATAATTTAATATTCCGGCTTCAGTTAAACTAAGATGATTCCGAAAGATAAAACATGTTTATTCATTTATCCCAGAAAGTAATGATGTTCCTTTCATTAATTTTAAATGAACGCCTAAGCTTTATGCCAATAAGCGCTTTCATATTACTGGTTTAAATCCTACCCCCCCCCCTCCCCATTTTATTAAATAATTCTTGATTAAAATAATAGAAGGTAATATAACAAAATAACATTAGTTGGGTAGTTATCATATTTAACAGTTTAAACAAATATTAGCTGGCCAAAAAATAGGCTAAACCGGCTAATTTTTTTATTAAAATTATAGCAAATCAAATTTGAAAAAAACTAATACAAAATTAAAACACCTTAATGTAAACAAATTTTCTCCGGCACTCGAATTCCGACTTTTAGCCTAGCTATAATAATTATCAAATTTATATTGTTTTCCGAGAAAGTGGCCAATATTGTACATAAGTCCTTTAAACGAACCTATAGCAAAATAATTATTTATTATCTCTTACTTAGGTAACCCTTAAACCTTATTTCTATCAAAAAAATTCAAAAATATAAATATATTTATGATAAATTAAGATGTTAGTTTTATATATCCAATAAAACCTTTTTTATTTAAAGAAAAAAAATTTTCTTGTTTTTAAATTTGTGATTTAATCTTAAATGATTTGTTATGCGTGAAAATTATACAAAAGATTTATTTATAAAAAAAATTTTTTTTTAAAAGATTTTGGCATTTTTAGGTAAAATCTGATCAAAACTCTTCTTTAAAAAAAAATTTTTGCTCAAAATTTTTTTTTGATTTTCAAGCTCTGCTTAATTTATTCTATCTCATTCTTTTTCATTAATTTCTTACCCAAAATATATCATTTTAAGAATTGTAGTAATTAGGTTTAAAAAATAGCCTTCCCCTCCCCCATAAACTGTCTCAAGTGTTTTGTTTGACAATTATATCTTTATATTATTGTTTAACACAAGTACTTTTGACATAGCCTTAATGAATATAAAAAAATTATTCGATACCAAAAAGTTAACACAAATTATAATTTTAAAATATAGAAAAAGGGTAAAAGCAATTAATTATTTATTGGAATTTTCGTCACATTTGCAGCTGTTATTCGTTTTAAAGAATGGAAAGTGAAAGTTATATAAAGCAAAGAAGAAAAAAAATAGAAGATTGTAGGAATAAATTTGATTTTTTACCACTGCGACAGCATTTGATGTCAGCATCCTTGCGGGAGATAGTACCGTTAAATAGGCAACATTGGTCATTACATAAAGAACGGTAACTAATGGGATGCCAATCATTATGGATCGAGGTATATTCCTTAAATTGTGGCAAAAATTAATTAATATTATGAATTTTGTAAATTCCTCTTTTAATCTCATTTATATAATTGCTATCATCAACTTTTCTTATAAGTTTAATTATTAACATTTTTAGTACTTGTTTGGTTCGGCGATTTCTTCGGCCAAGAAATTTAGATTGTTCCTGTGATGATATTATTTTTTTTAAAAATATTATTTAGAAAAATTCAAACTTTCAAAATATCAAAAGAAATAGCCCTTTTCCTAATAGATAAACATGCAAAGATTTGGGCTAATATAGAACCCAAAATGGGCACATGCCCTAAAAAAGGATTGGATCGTTTTGGATGGTCAGCAAGAGTGTTCATTGCTAGAATTGATCATATGTGATATGAATAGATACTTTTAAAGAATATTTTATTTTTATTTCCAAACCATCCATCGTAGGCCCAAAGACCGCTGTAAAAGGCCAAAGCTATTTGGGAAGGGTTCCAATTTGTGTTTGCAAAGCCTCTCTCTAAATCATGGGTATATCCTTTATTTATTTTTTTAAAGTTTATATTTAGAATATTTTATTTATTAAGTCATAAAATGAATGAATTTAAATTTATTCTTTTTAATGATTCTTTGTTTCTTTAAAAAAAGTTTCTAATTAAATAATAGCATGCTGAATCCTTTCCACCAAGTTAGTTGCGCGAATAACACTTTCTAAAAGTGTTGTAAAGTAAGGTCGTTACCTTTTTTGAAGAAAAGGAACGCCATTCGTTACCTTCTTCTAGAGGTAAACGCGTTTTTTTTGAGTATTGGTAAGCAAAAGGTTACTCGCTACTTTATTTCTTAAAAAATGGGATATATTTTACCGTATTATAGAACATTATTTTTTAAATTCTATCAATAATTTAAGCCGAGTTTTTAAGTCAGATCAACCACAAATTCCTACTTTTTATTTTAAATTTTCGTTGTTAAATGTTAAGTCAAGATTGTTAATCCAATTAATATTGAATCAATCAAGATATGTTAATATTATAATTTTTTTATAAAGAATATTATTTCATAACGTTTAAAGCCCAAAAGTCTCGGGATATTGGTAAAAAAAGTGGTTATGGTGCATATCCATGGTTATAATTATAAAAGATGTATAGGGAAGGTTTAATTGGGGTTTTTTAGAAGTAAACCTTGATGTATCCTTATCAGACCACCGATTATGATTAGCAATAAGGCTAGAATTTTGCAGAACGTAAAAAAGGTTTGCATTTTGGTGGCTAGCTTGACGCTGAAGCAATTCACAAAGCTTATTAGACCTAATTTACAGTGTTTATTTTCAAAATTAATATTTATATCAAAAAAATTCCTATTATTTTTACAATAAAAAAAAATTTCTCCCTTGATATTATTTTGTTCAATTAGATTTTGCTTAGGATCATATTATCAAATAAATTATATTAAGGATTATTGGCCATAAAAGCATATTTATATTCAAGACGTAATAAATTAAATATCTCGTGTGGTTTAATAGAATCGGATAGAACAGCCCGATTAACACATTTAATATGATTTGAAAATTTATGGGCTCAATTGCTAATAAGATCATAAAATTCAATCTTATAGATTTAACATTTAATGTGATTAAATATGGAAATTTTAATATTATTACTTCTTAAATTTATCTATGAAATATATACCATAATCGGTTATCTTTATATAAGAAACTTACAAAGAGCGGATATGGCTACCATTCTCTTAACGGCCATCTCGTTATAACCGGGGCCGTTATCGAGGCCCATTCCGGACCCGGCCGTTTTTGAAGCGCAATTTTTCCCGTCGTTTTTCGAGGTTCCACTGACAATGAAAGCCAGGGCGGTGACCGAATACTCGGCGAAGGTCATAGCTATCACAGCCATGGCCGCCGTTTTGAGTATGGTAAGCGTGGTCCAGGCGAACAAATAGGCTGGTATGGGACCCCACATCTTTAAAAGTAAAATGTAACGATTAAAATACTATAAGATATGTTTTTTAAATGCATATTTTAAATAGGATCTAAAAGATATTAATGCTAAAATCAAATAAGTGGCAAAAATTGAAGTGACTGGGGGCCATTTTGGGTATGGACCTTTAACCAAAGAAACATCATAATTTCATCAATATCAAGTATATTTTAATTATGTTTTATATTTTAATATATAAATACATCTATATTATATCCCAAATTATTATTTACTTATATTTTTACTAGATGAATAAAAAAACATTTTTAGAGCAAGTAAATTATGGTTATACTGTTTTGATTATTACTTAATGAATATCTTTAAGATTTATTTAGAGTAATCAAGTTAGAATAAATACTTTCTATAGTGATAAGAATAAAATTAAACATTTTCTGCTCTTTATTAACATTTGCAGTTTATTACTTAATGAATATCTTTTAGATTTTATACAGACTAATCAATATAAAATAAAAACTGGAATAGTAATAAGAATATAGCTTTAAATTTCCAGAGAAGTAAGGATTTTTTGTTTTCTTTATTACTTAATGAATATCTTTAAGATTTTTCAAATTTATTTAGATCAAGTTAGAATGAATATTTTCTATAAGAATTCAATTCAAAATTTTTTATTTATATATTCAATAACAAAAATTAAAGTGAGGAAAGATATATTATATAATCCAGAAATGACTTATATTTTCATTTATATTTTTTTATTACTAAAAGATTTACCTACCAGAGAGTATAAAATCAGTATCAATTTATCCAGTAAATTTTATAATAAAATACTTATCATTTTGAATTAAATATTTTTCACATGATTTTAAATTTGTTATAAAATTTAATGTATTTTTATATTTTAAGAAAATGGTAATATATTGTTGTGCATATGGCTGTAAGGAAACAAAATTTCCTTTCTTAAGTATGATATCTCAAATTATATACTGATTTAAAATTTTTGTCAGACTCAAATTTATAATATTTATTATATGAAGATGTAACTCATGTTATTAATCTATTATCTTTTGTAAAAATTATGGCAAATTTTCTATGAAAAACATAGCAATTTAACATGTGATTTGGAATCTATTATGAAATTTATCACATATTTTTATTTTTAGAAATTGCTCAGTAAACAAAATTTAATATACATGATTTTATTGATCTATATTTTGAATTATATAAAAAAAAATTCTTGATATAATTTCTTTGAAAAAGAGGTTATATTTTATAATTTCTAAGTCTTTTTATATTTTACTTTTGCTTTGAATTATATTATTCCTTAATAATTATAAACTATCCATTTCTAAATATATTTCTTTATTTAAATTTAATTTACAAAAGTACAAAAATCAATAATGAATATATATATCGCGAAAAAAACTAATTATCTTCTTAATTTTTACAATGATAAATACAAATAATATAAATATGTTACATTTACATCTAATAAAATAAATGTATTATTATAACCAATAAAGTAAATGCTATAAAGTGTAACGTTTTTTTCTTACAAATTTTCACCATAATTTTTACTTCACCTATAAATATTCAAGTTAAATAATATTTTTATATTACTTGGTTTAAAAATACTGTTTTGTTTAGCTTTTGCCTAATATCTAATTTTAATTTTTGATTTATTTTATTTCCATAATGGTGCATTAGATGTGGGTATCTGAAAATAAATTTTTATTAAAATCAAGTAATGATTATATATACATTTTTATAATAAGTCTTATTATAATTTGATAATGACTTAATCCTGCCTCTTGATCATACATATGATCTTGCAGGTCATTAAACATATTTGTGCCTAATTATTTTTGACAATATAAGACATTCTAATTTTTTAACAGCATCTTTTTTTGTTATTTCATGTACTTTTTCAAAAGCCCTGAATGAGCTCTCTGAAATTTGATACACTTTGGGATGGTATTACCAATCCCATAATTTTTAATTTTTATTAAAGCGTAATTATAGTTGTTTGAGGAATTATCTATTAGTGAATGTAAACAGATATCACATCTCACTTTCTTTTCTTCAACAAGTTTACGGATAATGTATCCAGAGATATAGGTATTATCAACATAGAGAGATAGCCGTGGAATATTAGGTATATCATAAGAGTTGTCCAATAAAGCTTTTGGTGTGAACATGATTTGGTCATTTTGGAAATCTCCACAGATTAGATTGATGTCATGCAATTTCCAGTCATTGAAGCTCCCAATCTGGCATGTGGAACACTTCTAACAGCACATTAAACCAAATGAAATTCATGTTTTTTATAAATCATATCTTTTTAAACTTTATTATTTTTTTATATTTATTAATTTTATTTATAAATATTCTATAAAACCTTCTTTATTCCTATTTTTGTAGATTATTAACGTATAAGTTGGTCACAAGATCATCTAGAATTTTTCTTCTCGTTTACGTAGTAGAGGTGGCTTCAATAATAATCCATCTGCATTCCAGCTACGATGTGCTGTTAGAAGTGTTCCACATAGATTGGGAGCTTCAATGACTGGAAATTGCATGACATCAATCTAATCTGTGAAGATTTCCAAAATGACCAAATCATCACACCAAAAGCTTTATTGGACAACTCTTATGATATACCTAATATTCCACGGCTATCTCTCTATGTTGATAATGTATCTACCTATATCTCTGGATACATTATCCGTAAACTTGTTAAAGAAAAGAAAGTGAGATGTGATATCTGTTTACATTCACTAATAGATAATTCCTCAAACAACTATAATTACGCTTTACTAAAAATTAAAATTATGGTGGATTGGTAATACCATCCCAAAGCGTGTCAAATTTATGCAAAATAACCGAGAGCTCATTCAGAGCTTTTGAAAAAGTATATGAAATAATAACGAAAAAACATGCCATTAAAAAATTACAATGTCTAATATTGTCAAAAATATTAGGCACAAATATGTTTAATGACCTGCAAGAACATATGTATGATCAAAAGCAGGATTAAGTCATTATCAAATTATAAATAAGACTTATCATAAAAAGGTATATATAATCATTACTTGATCTTAATAAAAATTTATTTCCATATACCTACATATACGAATACACCATTATGGATATAAAATTAATCAAAAATTTTAATTAAATATTAGGCAAAAACATAACAAAGCTGTACTTTTTCAAGCGCAATAAACCAAATAATAATATAAAAAATGTTATTTAACTTAAATATTTATAGGTGAAGGAAAAATTATGGTAAAAATCTGTAGGATAAAACTTAACACTATCTGTATTGTTAAGGCTATAAAAAATTTTGCTAATAAACCTTTCTGGATGAACACTGTCCGCGACATCCACTTTTTTCTTTCTCGGTCGTTTTGTCGAGGACAAGATTTTTATCCATATCGCTATCTCCTGGAAACATTTTCCTTCGGTCGGCAGGTACGTTGAAAGCCTGCAGTAAATAAGCATATTCGCCACCAGATTTCGGTACAAGAGTCCCTAGCTCGGCGTAGCACAGAGCTCCCATCATGGAAAGCAAACCGCTGGCAAACCATACTATAAGAGACATACCAACCGAGCCCGAACTGCGCAGGACCCCCACAGGGGTTATGAATATACCCGAACCTTTAGTTTTATTGAATATAAAAATGAAAATGACTATAGATTATATTTTTTTAAAAACGGAAATTAAGTTAAAAAACTTGATTAGTAGTGTCATGACCCCGGGATAAAATATGACAAAACCTCAGGGCATATTGGACTTTAGAAAAATATCCTTCATTTTACTAGAAAAAAAGATGGATGTGTGGAAACTGGAAAGTAAAGAAGCCTTGGCTTAAAAAGGGAGAAAACCAATTAAACGCGCGAGCTAGACATAATAGGATTTAAATGAATACAGGTTTAAAATCGATTGAAAATCAAGAACAGGCAACAACCAAAAAAAGGATAGATTTCGGTAATTATAAAAAAATCGATTTCGCACCATAAATAGATTAGGATTTCAAGAATCATGATGAGAGATAAAATCGTGGGGAAAAGGTTATCGATTAAAATAAAAAGGAAAACAAAGATTTATTTTTAATAAAAAGCTAATTTATAAAACTTAAACTAAGATGACTTGCATCGAGCAGGCCTTATTTAGTTTTTATATTAGTTAAATTGGTGACCAATTTATATAAGCTATCTTTTTTTCTCTATTTCTATTTCTCTTTATCCCTCTTATATTTTACCTTTTCTCTCTCTTTCGCTCATACATTCTATTCCTCCCCCCCCTTCTTTTTCGAAGATACTTGGAACTAGTGTTGTTAAAAAGTCGAGTTCATCCGACTCCGACTCAGAGTCTCGAGTCGTTAGTCGAATATGTCGACTAACTCAAACTCAAGTCGTGAACTCGAGTCGTGAACTTAAGTCGACTCGAGTCGTGAACTTAAGTCGACTCGAGTCGTGAACTTAAGTCGACTCGAGTCGTGAACTTAAGTCGACTCGAGTCGTGAGCTCAAGTCGACTCAAGTCGTGAACTCAAGTTCATAAAATATTCGTCCTCTAGTACTAGAGGACGAATATTTTATTAACTTGAGTTGTCAACTTGAGTCGACTAGAGGACGAATATTTCAGATTTATTATTATTAATTAAGATAGTTTTTGTATTTTTTTCGACTTCCAACTTGAGTCGTGACTCGTGAATATAATTAAATAATTGAGTCGACTAGAGGACCAATAGTTCTATGAACTTGAGTCAACTAGAGGACGAATATTTCAAATTAGTTATTATTATTTAAGATATTTGTTGTTATTTACTTTTTACTTTAAACCCCAAACTTGAGTTGTGAATACAAAATATATAGTTATTGACTAGAGGACGAATAGTTCTCTGAACTTGAGTCGTCAATTTAAGTCGATTAGAGGACGAATATTTCAAATTAATTATTAATTTATTTAAAATATTTTTTCTGCTTTTTACATTTTTTTACTTTAGACTTCTAATTTGAATTGTGAAAACTGAGAAGAATTAGGTTCAGACTTGGGGTTCAGACCCACCTATGAATTACACCTGGGGCTCGGATAAATGAAAAGTAAAAAAAAAAATTTCATTTTCTAATCTTAAATTAAATCTTATTCTTATCTTATTCATTCTAAATTAATAAAGCTTTTTTTTTATTCTTATTTTCTTACCATTTTTGGGGACTTTCTTTTGATCAAAAATTTTTATGGTAAAATAAAAATATCAGTAAATATTCAAAAAGAGTAACCCATGCATGACGGAAAAATAAAAAAGTAAAATTTTATTTTAACACATATTGATATTGTAATTAAATGTGGACCAATATGAAAATTCAACGTCATTCATGCATGTATAAATAATAAAAAGAAATGTAAATTTATAATTTGTGAAGAAATAATGGCCAATAAAAAGTTTTTCTTTATTATATTAAAGTTATATTCCCAATATTATATATGTCATAATTTTTAAAGGGATGTCAACTATCCAGGATCATCACGGGTTTTAAAGGTATAACTAATAAATTTTGGTTTTAAGTAGGTATGTACCGATATCACTTTTTGGAGGCCCGATCCGATATTCCAGATATTAAATTGATATCGACCGATTACCGATCCGATATCATTTCTAATTTTTATGCCATTTATTTAAATATATTATAATGATTAGTTATAGTTTATATTCAATTCTATTGCAATTCTAAAAGTATATAAAATATTTTTATTGTTAAATAACTTTTATATAAGTAATAAGTAACATTAATCTATATATATAATAAATAATAAACAAATATATTATGAAATTAGAATAAATATTTTAAACAATATTTAACATTAATAAATCGAAGATTTCTTATTAGAAATACCAAAATTTACTTATTTATCAGAAATCAGTTTACGTTTACGGCGATGTGTCAAGTCAATATCACCAAATTCACTAAAAACAGATTCTGAAGAGATTATCGCACACTTTTATAAACAGAATGCGCAAAAAATAACAATATGGCAGAATGTTTATTAATTAATTATTAATATTAAAAAAATATGGATTTCGATTTTATTTATAAAAATAAATGATTTTAGATATAACTTTTTTTAAAAAATTTTTAACATTTTATTTTTGTTAAAGATGCCATTTTATATCGAATCTGATGGGCAAATTAGAAGTCACTAGTTTGTCTAGGACTACCACTAATGACAATATAAAGATGTTTATGATTGACTTATTTTTTTAATTATATGACAGATTTAAGTGACAACAAGTACTTCCAGTTCCAGGTGATATACGTGATATAGATGAACCCTAATTAATTTAACATATTTGACGACTTATTTTTATTTATTTACTTAGAATTAACACCTATATATAAAAAAATTTCAAAAATCTAAAAATAAAACGTGAAAGGATAATAGATACCCCGTATGTTTTTCATAAACTTAAATTTTCATTTTTTTAAATTTCGCATTAATTAAAAACAAAATGATTTTTTTCTTAAATATTAATTTTTACCTTATAAATATATGTAAAGAATAAAATTACGTTAAAACATTTTAGAAAAATTGCTTTGTCCATTTTTTATAGCACTTCAATTTTATGGACAAATTTTTCCCGAGTATGACCAAGAATATTAACATTGGGGTTACGAGTACAAATATATTTATTTTCAAAATTTGATTATAATAAAAAATATATACAATAATAAAAAATGAATACTTTCAATCTAAAGAACCCATATATCGATATTTTGTTATGATAAATTATTCCTGACCCCCCCCATGACCTAGTCCCGCCCTCTATCAGTGATTATTATTATTACAATAAAAAAATATTTAATTATCAACTTGTTCATTAAATCGTTACACGACACGACCTCGGGTCTGAACCCCGAGTCTGGACCCCGGGTCTGGACCTAGGGTCGGCCTGAGCACATAAAAGGATCGTAAATTTTACAAGCAAATTAAGAACACTAGACTCAAGTTCAGAGAACTGTTCGTCCTCTAGTCGACAACTATAAATTTTGTATTCACAACTCAAGTTGGAGGTCTAAATTAAAAAGTAAATAACAACAAATATCTTAAATAATAATACCAAATTTAAAATATTCGTCCTCTAGTCGACTCAAGTTCATAGAACTATTGATCCTCTAGTCGACACAACTATATAATTTATATTAACGACTCATGAAAGTCTAAAGTAAAAAATGTAAAAAACAAAAAATATCTTAAATAATAAAAACTAATTTGAAATATTCGTCCTCTAGTCGACTCAAGTTCATAGAACTATTGGTCCTCTAGTCGACACAACTATAAAATTTATAATAACTTAACGAGTCATGAAGGTCTAAAGTAGGAAATGTAAAATACAAAAAATATCTTAATTAATAATACCAAATTTCAAATATTCGTCCTCTAGTCGACTCAAGTAGACGGCTTAAGTTAATAGAAATATTCATCCTCTAGTCGACTCATTTATATAATTCTTTTCAGTTTTCACAATTCAAATAAGTCTAAAGTAAAAAAATGTAAAAAACAGAACAAATATTTTAAATAAATAATGATTAATTTGAAATATTCGTCCACTAGTAGACTTAAATTGACGACTCAAGTTCAGAGAACTATTCGTCCTCTAGTTGACAACTATATATTTTGTATTCACAACTCAAGTTGGAGGTCTATAAAGTAAAAAGTAAATAACAACAAATATCTTAAATAATAATAACTAATTTCAAATATTCGTCCTCTAGTCGACTCAAGTTCATAGATTTATTGGTCCTCTAGCCGACACAACTATATAATTTATAATAACTTAACGAGTCATAAAGGTCTAAAGTAGGAAATGTAAAATACAAAAAATATCTTAATTAATAATACCAAATTTGAAATATTCGTCCTCTAGTCGACGACTCAAGTTCATAGAAATATTCGTCCTCTAGTCGACTCAACTATATTCACGAGTCACGACTCAAGTTGGAAGTCGAAAATAGTAAAATATAAAAACTATCTTAATGAATAATAAATAATAGATCTGAAATATTCGTCCTCTAGTCGACGACTAAAGTTCATAAAATATTCGTCCTCTAGTCGACGACTCAAGTTCATAAAATATTCGTCCTCTAGTCGACTAGAGGACGAATATTTTATGAACTTGAGTTAATGACTTGAGTCGACTTGAGTTCATGACTTGAGTCGACTTGAGTTCATGACTTGAGTCGACTTGAGTTCATGACTTGAGTCGACTTGAGTTCATGACTCGAGTTCATGACCTGAGTTTATAACTCAAGTCAGTTTGGGTCGATTTTTTGACCCAAAACTTGACTCAGTTTTCGACTCAGTCGATTAACAACACTACTTGGAACTTTCAATTGAGATTAGAAAAAAATACCTATCATGGTGCCGACTATAATGGCGGTGCCTCCGATGAGACCCACCTCCCTCTTGAGCCTGACAATTTCTTTGGGTCCTTTGACATTGCCCTCTTCAGTTTTGTTCAAATCGAGTGGGCTAACAGGGCTTTGATTGTTGGCTGGCGATGCAACTTAATGAGTTAAAAAAAATCAAATTTTTAATAAAAGTAATTTTTTTAAAAAAATTGGTTTACAATGAAAACGAGTGTCATTATTAAATATAACAATAAAAGGGGGTAAACAAAACTAGATTTTAATTGAATGCATATTGAAATTAAATATGGACAAGCAATTAATTAAGATTAAACGTCGTGTTTGAATTCAAAAAAGATATTATATTGGAAATTTAATTTAAAATAAAAAATGAATTAAAATATTTATAAATAAATATTAGCAATTACCGATTTTTATAATGAGATATTCTTGTCAGTGAGATGTTTTTTACAAATTACGTGACGAAAATTATTTTATTTTCCTTCAAAAACGTGAAGTTTGTTGTTTTTATTGAAACTTAAGTGTTCTTTTAATGGATTTTTATAAAAGTTTCTTTTACGATTTGGCTCATCGACAAATTGCATTTTTAAAAAAATTAACATTTCTATCTGTCTATTGATATATTATTTACGGGCTTCCAGAAGTCTGGAATATATACATTTTTTTGAAAAATTGCAAATGTGTTTTTTAAATTATTTTTGCAAGCAAAATACTTTTATCTGGATGGGCTTTAATTTAATCAAAATGTTTCATAAAACCATCACAATACTGTAATCAAAAGTAAAAGATGTTTTTGACAAACATTTCCAAAAATGAACTAAAAAAACAATGGTAAATCCTATAAAAAAGTATAATACTAAATAAAATATGTACAAAATACTATAAAAAATTATATGAATTGAATATGGCAAACTTAAATAACATTAAAATACCGGTCCGGGCTAAAAACTTAAAAGACCAGTCCGCCTATCGATCCATGGTTTCGGTATAAGACCGATAGGACGGGGCCGCTGACCTTCGCTACAAAATATAGATTCATAAATAAATTTTCCTTTTGCCAAAATAATTTAAAGATGAACTTCATAAATTATATGGTCTATTATATCCCGTTTAGTAAAATATAACTCCACCTAATTTTTTTTAAAAAAAAGTGAATTATATACTTTTATAAGCATCTTATTTCTAAAGGCACCCCCCCCCTTAAGCTCTTTTAATAAAAATATTTTCTCTAATATTAGAGAAAAAAATTGATGGGAAAAAAATGAAGAAAAAAATATGAAAATTATACTGCATAATAAGTACATTTATAATTTTAAAATATTATATAATTACGTATTCCCTATATATCAGAGAACCCTCAAGGCAGTCATGGAAATATGATTTAATAAAAATTAGGGATGTCGAAACTAAAAAAAAAATTTTTATATATAAAACCAGAGCTAAATTATTGAAAATTAAGGAAATTTTAAAAATTCCAGGTCGGGACGATAAATATCTGGGTATGGCTTGAAAATAAACATTCCTTTTAAATCTCGGGTTTGTTTCAAAAATAAAATTAAACCCGTGCTGCGCCCTGCAGATCTCTGATTACCATATGTGGTAGCGGCGATTCAAAAAAAGACTAAAATGCTTACGCGGTAAATAAAATGGAAGGTACCGTTTAAACATGATCCATTTTATTTTCACATATTTAAATATAAAAATTAAAATTTATATATACAAAAAAGTAAACTTACATTACAACATAAGAAAATCATCGCTAGATGAATAAAAAAAATATTGAATTACAAATCAATTAATTCCTATTATAAATTAAAAATATTTTTTTTATATTGAATTAAAGTTATACATTTTTATTGTAAAAAGAGAAATTGTCAAAAAATATTTTTTCATAAAATCCGGGACCGAACCCGACAGGTGAAATAAAAAATTTAGGCCCGGTCTAATACAGGTGAAAAAATTGCACCCGGTTCCATCTTTAATTTTAATTTTTTTATATTTTTTAGACAGCAATGGAAAGAAGTCGGTTTAAAAAAATGGGAATCTCATCTCGCTTTTGTCTTCCATAAAATTTTTAAAGTAAAATTGAAATTAATGTTAATAGATGATAATGAAGTAACAAGAAAAATAGATAAAAATGGAAGAAAAATCAACCAGATTCCTTTTAGCGATTTAGAACGGGAACCCGATGGAACGTTGAAAATCTTTCAATCCGAGCATGTATATAAAGTTCGATTTAAAAAAACGGCCATCCTAATATTTTACAAAAAATGTTACGCGAACCTCGAGATTTTGCCCATAAATGGCTGAAAGATTTGAATATCTATCACCGAAATCTCGAGACTTACGCGATATTATTTTGGCTTAAATCTTAATTTAAAATTGGTTAAATCGAAACGTGCGGGTTTGTATTATATTGATGTCGCCTGGCTTGCGGGACAAGCTAGAATTTTTATTAGATTTTTTTAAATCTAAATTAATATATAAATCCCTTTGATGCCACAAACAAACATTTCACGGAGCATATATAATATACTAATACAGGAAGTCATATTTACTTCAATATTTTGGCATTATCCCATGCCGAGTCTTCGCGAAGTTAGCTGTGCGACCCTTAGTTAAAATAATTTTTATTAGCGAACGCGCTACCAATTTCCTTGATTGACAGTTGATGATGTCGCTATGACCTTATTTTAAACTAATTACTAAGGTAAATCTCGTTTTAAACGAGATTGTATAAAGGTGTATCCTAGACCACATGGGAACAATTAAATTAAGCTTAACGTTTTAAAGCCTAATTTAAATCTCATGGTATAACTACTATTTCCTTGTGGGAATTCAACTTGCGTGTGTTATAGTTACAATTAGTAAATTAAATTATAAAAACTCGTATCACTCTCCATTTTTTTTAAATTTAATTTTATGGAATAATCTCTCAAAACTTATATGGGTGGCTGGCTTGTGTGCCTACAAATAAAATATTAATCATTCTCTTCTAAAATAAAAGTATATATTTCAGATAGGCTTTCTCTTATAATAACAATATAAAAATTTATGTTTAAATTCACTTTTGTTTGAAGAATTTATCGCCTTTCATCTTTCAAAAAAATTTTTTTAAATATATTATTGATTATAAAAAAACTAAACAAATTAAGCATTCTTAATAAAATAAGAAGAACGCTTAATGGCAAAAATCAACGCCGTTAATTCATAAAGATTTCGCGTCGTCATCGCTAAGCGCTTCATACTATTTTCTTTAAAACCTTACCTTTTAACCTTAAATAATCTTGCATCTTTAAACTCTTTAAATTTTGTATAGAACCGCCATATAAAATAGAAAAATGGCAAATCTAAATATATTTCGCAAAAATAGACAACTAAGTTTAAAAATTTTTAAAAAAAACTAAAAATTCTCATATTTTTTTTTAAATATAAAAAACCAAAAATATTTGCAAAATTATTTATAAATAAAATAAATTACATATAAAAAAAAATATCGATTTAATTATCTCTCAAATTAATTTTATTACTTTTAGCCATCACAACTGAAAAAGGAATATCCTCTTACAAGGAATTGATGATTGGATTAATCAGTAGAGTAGCCAGTAAGTTACAACTACTCTCTTAAATAATTCTATTAACGGATAAAACTTTAGGATGTAATTAATTTAAATATAGATTTATTAAGTTTAAACAAAAAAAACATAAATTACTTTTTAAGAGCGTAAATAATTTAAACATCAAAAAAACCTTGATAAATTTCATTTATAAAATATATTTAAAAAATAAGATAATATTCCAAAGAGATTTTATAGTAATAATATATAATTAGATATTATTTAAAAACTATTATTCATTCGTAATTCAATTTCTGTACCCGGAAAAAAGCAACCCATTTTTAAAACATGGTTAACTTTTTTAGGAATTACCCAACATGTTCTTATACAGGAACGGGTACATAGAGGTAACAAAACATTTATTCACTTAGAAACCCGAATGGTAGGGGGAAAATACTCTTGTCCAGGGCTTCCGATTTGATAATTTTTCGATTTTAATATTTTTTTTAGCCTTAATTACGTAAAGAAATATAAATAACTTCATTTTCGATCTACCCTTTTTTTTTAACTTAGAATACCCCGCCCTACCTCAATAAGAATTAACTACAAATTTAGTAATATATCATGGACACGTACATTCTGAAACTATTAATTATTAAACTAGGCGACACGGATCGTTTCGAGACGATTTTTAAAAACGGCTAACTCAATATTTTAGCCAGAAAAATATTGCCTAAGCCTCGAGATTTCGATAATAGGTGTCCAAACCTTTGTGTCATCTATGAGCAAAATCTTTAGGCTTGCATAATATTTTTTCTGAATAAAATATTGAGTTAGCCGTTTTTAAAAATCGGCTCAAATCGAGCCTTTTTTTGACAACACTAAGTATAAAATATAACATAAAAAATATAAATGTGATAAGCAAATATTTAGTTTCCATTTTTTTTGATAGAAAAACATAGATTAGATAAGGGATCTGAAACAGATTTCGACTAAGCGAGAACTATTCTCAATTGTATATGTAAGGTCTAATTTTGATAAATTGAAATAAAAAAAACTCCATAATATATTTTTTAAATTAATAATATAATTGAAAAAAAAAATATATAATATACTTTTAAAAGAATTTTAAATACACTAGAAATCAGTTTTCGGAAAATCTTTGTGGTTGTTAAATGGTTAAAATTTTATAACAAAAAAAATTAGCTCTTTTAGGTTATATGATATAATTGAAGAACCATTTATTAGAATGCATTTAGAATATTTCCTATTTATTATGAAATAATGATTTTATATTATACATATACAAATCGTATTTTTCAAATTTTAGTCAGATGGTTCACCGAGTTGAAGTGCGGCATAGAAAGCTTAAGACTAAAGTGATATGTTTAAACTGTAATTATCATATTAAGTCACTTTATCTAGAAATGTAATTTTCTAAAAAGTTACTAGTTATTATTTTCATGAAATAGAAGAGTTTTTAATACATAATTTATGATATCTCAATTGAGATCAATATGAATTTTGGATCTTTGAATTAAAATCTCTGCATGGCACGGCACGGAAAATTATGACATCAT